AAATATACTATCTAAATATAATAACTAATATATAATAATAAATACTATTTTAACTAAATATATAAAAATACAAGTATTGAATATTTATAACTAAAATAACTAAGTAAAATCTAAACTAAAAATCTACTTTGTAACATTTTCCTCCCCTTTAGAATTTTGTTCTACAAAATTCTTTCTATTCCTATACTATTTACAAAAATCAATTATCTATTCAAGATCCGGCTTCACTTAACTCATTTATTTTCTTGAGAGTTAAGCCTTTTGTTCAGTAGATTTGTTCATACCCAACAGCATGAAACAACCTGTAAGTCCTTCGGAATGACCTAAGTCGATGAGCTTTAATTGACTTGACATGTCGAGGTTTTTTCAATATAAGGGCTCCTAAGTGATATCCATATGCTAGGGCATAGATTCGGTTATAGGTGTGCTGATCTGTAGTAGTCCTAAAACGGGCAGAGATTTCTTTATAATATTGTTCCCATGAAGTAGTGGCAGTCATGGGTATGGTAACAAAAAATTTCTTCTGGGGTGGGCCGGATTAAATCCAGTTTAAATTTGTAAAGGGGGTCATCCTTTACATTAGAGATTACTGTATATGACTGTTTCAAATCAAGAAGAAGATTTGCACTTTTACTGTCACACATGATAGTCCCAGGGTACTGCATGTGATGACATAATTCCTGCAATTCATAAACCTTGCAGTAAAGTTCAGGGGCAATCCAAGAGGGTAAATCTTGTGGTGGGTTCATTTTAATAAGAGATTTGGTTGGTTTTGTTTAACTTTTAAGAGAAGAGGTGTTGGCAGAATTGAGTGAAGGAAGGCAATTTTAGGTCCTTTATATATCTGTTAAAATTTTGTTCGTGCTTCTTAGTTGAAACCATATCATAAAACCGTTCAACCCATACTATCTTGTTGTATCGCCCATGTGCAAAATTCGTTCAACACATGCTGTTTCTTTGTGTTCTTCATATGGTGAGTCTTTGTCTTCTAAAAATAGCAAACAAGTTTGGTTTACTAAATTGCAACATAACCATACGGCTCTATTTACTTTCTATTTCGGCTAATAAAGCATACTTTTCTAGAGGTTATGGGGTTTCTAAAAATAAAAATTGCTACAGTATTTTATTGGTGCAATTTCTAAAAATAAAAATTTCTACAATGTTCTATTGGTAACAATTCTTTGTCAGTTTCCTCCTCTTAAAATGTGAGGTCTCCGAACTTCATGTGCTAATTTGTCTAAAATTAGCTATTGTTTGTTTAATTGTCCGTCTTTTTCCTATTCTGGCAATCACATTGTTGCTTGTGATTGTTTTTCTGCATCTATCAATAATCTTCTAGTCATAGCTAGTTGAGTTTTTTTGTTATTTAATTCTTTGGTTTTTGGCATTATCAGATCCCAAAAATCTTTTATTCACAGTTTTTTGGTCCTTATTTTCTTTTGTCTTTTGTCTTTTCTTGTTTCTAATAATTTTCTAATATTTCGTTTCTTTTCTTCTTGTAGTTTTCTTAAAAACTTTATCTTTTCGTTGCTTTCTTCTTGCTGTTTATCTTGCCGTCGTTCTAAAGGTGTATATACTTGTTCTGGCTGTGCGCTAAGTCTCGTCTAATTTAGGTGTATGGGGCTTGGCCGGTCTTCTACTCTGGTGTGCTATGTAGTTGGCCCAAGTAGATATTTTCCCCTTTGTCTTTCCCTATTTAAGTTGGACGAGCTTTTGAATGAATTGGTATAGATCTTGTAGGACCTCTTCTAATAATTAACCAAAATAATAGATATATTATTGTTGCTACTGACTATCTTATTCGCTGACCTGAAGCAAAAGCTGTACCAAATGCTGGAGCAGAAACCCTAGCACAATTTATATTTAAAGAAATTGTGTATAGACATGGCATATCTAAGATAATACTCTCTGACAATGAAAGAAATTTTATTAGTACAACTGTCAAAATTTTGTGTGAAAAATTCTTAATAAAACATATATTCTCTTCCCTATATCATCCTCAAACTAATGGTATAGTTGAATGCTTAAACCGGACACTTTGCAACTCTCTTGCAAAAGTAAAAGAAACAGATAAAGATTGGGATATACATATACCTGCTATCTTGTTTGCATATAGAACTAAACAACATGTAACAATTGGATATACTCTCTTCCACTTGGTATATAGACAACAAGCTATATTACTTATTGAAGCTACCTTACCAATAGAGTCACCAGAAACAGACCAAGAAATATCTTTAGAAGACAGTGTTTTATTCTGAGCATTTGAGTTAATAGATGAATTACCTTACCAACATAATAAAGCCCGAAAGAATACTGAACAATCTCAAAAGAAACAGAAAGTACGATTTGATTCAAAGATTCAAATTGAAGAATTT